TTCATCATCCTGCTCTTTGTGTTGAGGGGTGCGTGTGCGCGCACGCGTTTCCCCTAAATAAACTAATGAGTAAAATTAGGTAATTACCACCAAGACTTGGTACTAATAGTAACCCTCCAGCTTACTGGAGTGTTCCTTCTTATTTTTGTTTCAGAATGCTGCTTTATTTATTAACACATTTTTATTACTGCTACAACCTGTGTTTCTGAAGGTGTAGAATTTTATTTTTCAGTTACTCCCATTTTTTATCTTCCCATCAAGTACTAAAGTAGTATAGCTGACAGGCAAATGAGACCTTTGAAAATGGATGAAGAGCACAGTTTGTCTCGTGGATTGTCTTTTAAAGACAAATCCCAGTGCAGGAGGTGAGGCAGACGGTTCAGAACAAGGTGTCAGTTCATTCCGTTCAGCCCAAATGATCAAGAGATAACTATGGTTTTTTCTAACACTTTTTACTTCACAAGAAAAAAGAAAAACCAAACGATTTGACTAGTTTAATTGAAGGAATACATAAAATTTCAAATTACTAATATCTGCCAGTAGTCCTGGGAGAAATAAGGGATTAGAAAAAATGATCCTGTGTCTTAGTTTAAAAAGTTTAAATTTGATTCTTTTTTTTTTTTACCTCATCTGACTTATTTCACCTTACTGAGCTCTTTCTTTTTTCTTCAGTAATGCCACAATTGGGCGCCTGGGTGGCTCAGTTGGTTAAGCATCTGCCTTCCGCTCAGGTCATGATCCCAGGGTCATGGGATCAAGTCCCACATCAGACTCCCTGCTCAGCGGGGAGCCTGCTTTTCCCTCTGCCCCTCACCCTGCTCGTGCTTTCTCTCTCTCTCTCTCTCAAATAGAATCTTAAAAAAAAAATAAATTGTAACAAGAATCTAGTCTGTCTTTCTGCACTCTTTAGTTAGGCTCTGTGTAATTTAAAAAGTATCTAATTTAAGAAACGGGTAGGGCGCCTGGGTGGCTCAGTTGGTTAAGCGACTGCCTTCGGCTCAGGTCATGATCCTGGAGTCACAGGATCGAGTCCCACATCGGGCTCCCTGCTCAGCAGGGAGTCTGCTTTTCCTTCTGACCCTCCCCCTTCTCATGCTCTCTCTCTATCTCATTCTCTCTCTCAAATAAATAAATAAAATCTTTAAAAAAAAAAAAAAAGAAACGGGTATAACTAAATGTCCTCCGACTTTGACCCCTCGTTATCACTTTTCAAGCTGCTTTTCTTTTTGTCTAATTTTACCAAGAGTCTTTCTCTGGCACCCCCTTTTACCTATTAGTGGCATTTTCAAACTCTCTTGGTAGCACTTAGAAGTAAAACTGCTGCTGACTCGTGGTCTGTGACACAAAGATGTGGACTGAGAACTCAGGAGCATTGCTCCAAGGTGGCATTTGCCATCCCTTTCTCTCCCCATGAGCATGGAGGGCAGGGGAGCTGTGTGCTTATAGGGATAGTCCTGGAGCATATCCTTTTGATCCAAAAGTTTAGACACCACAGCTAGCTCCTTTAATGCACGAGGAAGGAGCACAGTAGGAGTTGTCTTATCTGCCGTGTAATCTAGAATCACTGGAATAGCACAGAAGCCATGTATTTGGAATTTTTTTTTTTTTTAATAGTTGCACACTCTGTTTTCATAAATAGCTCTTCAGGGCATAGAACAGAATCTGCCTTTTTGATCTGAGGATGTTTCATGGCTGAGTTCTTCCTGCTTTTTATTAAAAGTTACATGATATATTTAATCTAGCTTTATGGTATGTATACATCCTTCCTTAGCCTTTTGCTTATGGGGTGTGTTTTTTAAAATGGAAATGAGATTAAAGATAATACTTAGGTGACTGCCATAATAGTCACCAACTCAGTTTCTTTGTGGTTAGTGTTATATTTCTGCTTTTAAAAATTTTCTATTTTAAAAGTTTTGACTATTTTAATGAAATTCCCATCTATTTTTCCGTGACATATTCAACAAAAATATTGTGGTAAAACTGAAGAATTTATATTCTACTCTATGTTTGGACATGTATGTATATCACAATAGAAGCATAACCCACTTCAGCACCAGTTTAACCCTGGATTCGTGTGCCTTTCCTCCTCTAACAAAACTGTGGGTCTTATTTAATTTAGGGGAGAAATTCAGGAACTGATAGGCTTAAAGTAACTATAGTTTTTAGAAACTAAAACACAGGAGTGAGTCTGTAGTTTCTAGTGGGTCATAGGAAATCGAGATTTTGGTTGTGAAGTTTTGTTTACTTCACCTTGTTTTCACGTCAGTGCTATTCTTCCCATGGGGTGTCCTGTAACATGGCAGCTCTAACTTCCATCATCCACTCCATAAAGGGTGGTAATAAATGGGTTGTTTCAGAGAGTCAGCAGGAATTGGTAAGGATGCTTTGGAATTATCATGTAAGTCACGGAGTCCTCTTGTGAGGTGCCAGCACTGGGATTAGGACAGTCTATTTGTTGAGGGTTGTGTGAAATGGGCTAGACCCTCAAGTGGGGCTTCGGTTTCTATAGAGTGTGCGAATCCAGGACAGCAGTCAGCTGGTGGTCCTTCTCGGAGGGCTTGGCTGTGTCCTGGCCAGGGCTTCTGTGGGGGCAGAGGCAGTGTGCGAATGGGGGAAAGCCTGTGTTTTCTTATCTGGTAGCAATAGAAGGGGGATCCTCTTTTCAAATCCCTGTAAATTGCAATCCACAGTTAAGGCTTAGTTCTTCCTACCGTTTCTATCATTTGATTTGCCTCTTCATTTGTCCAGGCCCCCTAGCACTTTGGGCTGCTTGTGGAACTTTTCATGCTGTGCCTTGCCATAGGTATTTATAAACTTGTCTTCACGAGGGCCGCTGTGCTGCCTAATTCCTCTTTGTAGTTTGCCCTACTGACATCTCTGTCCACCCCAGATGGAATTGAGATGTAATCTGTCTTTGTAGACGTGTCCAGTGAATTACCCAACGACTGGCAGTGAATTGCTGAGACTAGATTGCATCCATTCAAGAGTTTTGAAGGAACCTTAAGGATGAAATTGCAGAACTCTTGGCTCTTGTTTTGCCTTTTATAAATAGCCACTGTTTTTAAAAGCTTGGTGGGTTGCCAGCACAAAGCTTGGTATATTGGAAAGCAAAATGGCCTGATGATGTAGAGGTGTGGGTTCTGTGTTGAGCCCTTACATGACCAGAGAGGTCATGCTGCTCTATCTCCTGGACCTTGGGGTCCTGCTCAGGATGTGTTCGCTGCTCTCTTTGTGCAGGGTCTCTGGTGATTGTCAATATCATGGTTAATCCTGTTAAACTGGGTTCTTAGTATACATATAAGTATTCTGTGGGCAGGAGAGATTTACTTAATCAAATCACACCATTAATTTAGTCATTCTTTGCTTCTATGACTGATATATTGCAGAGGCTGGATTCTGTTACATTCTTCCTCAAAGTGCCAATTTTGTTGTTTGCTTGCTTTGGCAGGCTGCTAATTTGGCTGGACTCAAACTAGGAACCCCACCTCGTCTGTGGTGGGCCCCAACATGAATCTCAGTCAGATACTTTGTTTTTAGCTTGGAGCTTGCCTCCTACAAGCGAAGCTCAGGGGAGAGTCAGAGATTTGGGCCAAGATTATACCCAGAATTTGGGGCTCCCCTGCTCCTTTCCACAATTTCTCCTCAGCTGCTGAGGTTGCCCCGAGCTGTGTCCTGGTTCATGTGTTGGCAGCTCCATGTGGCTTAGCCTGCACCCTGTCCTCAGGCTAAAAGCCCCAGCCCAGTGCTCCCAGTGCCATTCCCTTTTTCCCCAAGTGTGTCTCCCTGCTTTGGGTTACTCTGCAGCCTTGAGACGGTTGATTTTTTTATAGGTTTCCTCTATGGCAGGGCTGGTTCCCCAGGGGCTGCTCAGACACTTCACAGGTGGAAGCCCCAGTTCACTGAGAGAGAGCTTTCCTTTCTCTCTCAATCCAGGTCTGCATCTTCCATTGTGTTAACCAAGCTACCATTCTGGAGCATTCCTTGTACTACGTTGGCAAAAACAAACAGGAAAATAGCGATGAGGCAGTGGTCTTTTTATTTTTCTTAGAGATTGCTCAGCCAGTAATGATAGTTTCTCGTTTTGTTGAGGATGGCCAGCATCCTGAACCTAGATTTCCTCTGTTCGAGACCTCCAGGAGAAATATGCCGAGGCATTATTATGAGCAGGAACATCTTTGACCCGAGACTTTGGGGGCCTTTGCCCTGGTGAGCTGGGCCAGACACGTTTGGGCTGCAAGAATTCCTTATCTTAGATGGATGTTGGCTTGGCCTAAATTGCTTGCTGCGTGCTTCTTTGCCATGATCTCTCCACTTGCCTTTGACGATATTGGGCACGGGGAGAATTAGTTTCACAGTTGAGGAGAGGGTCTCGGCCACCTTCTGAAGCAGGTGGCACTGGGCCATCTTATCCCACTAACCAGTGACATTCCTCCGGGGGGGGGGGGGCATGACCCAGAAAGCCTGGAAGGGTAGAGCCTAAAGGGAGCTGTGGCCAGTCCCTGGCTATTTATAATCCCTGCTCTCCTCACTGCCACTGTTTATTTTTAACCACACCGGACTCTGGGAAGGGGAGGAGGAGGGGGAGGAGGAGGCTCAGAGCTCCCCCTAGAGGCTTCAGCGTGTCACCAAGCCGCGTGTTTAAAACATGGTATTGCTGCTTTAGTTGCATTCATCCACAGGATTCAGATGAAGATTTTTGAAATGATCTGGACTGGTTTCATATCCTGTGTTTTTGGGGACCAGATCTTTATTGCTACGAGTGGCCTGGAGCCAGCTTGGTACCGGAGCCTTTGGGTCTATGTGCAAATCATTGTTTGACATTAAAATAGAAGATAATTCTGTAATCACAGTCTTTCAGATGCTTTGAAATGATATTTCTAAAGCTGATTTAATGGGTGTGAGGAAAGCTGCTGTGTTGACATTGGATAGACTGGGTAAGAAGTTAAATGTCACTCAAGCAACGTAGTAACTTGAATTTCTCCTTATGTATTTCAGGGTTTCGAAAAAACGATGAAATGAAAGCTATGGATGTTTTGCCAATTTTAAAGGAAAAAGTTGCGTACCTTTCAGGTAAAGTTGAACTTTCTACTCTGTGTTACTGTTTCTTCTGACTGCTTCTGATACAGTGTCAGAGTCTGAAATACCACACTAACTCACCTGCCACACACATTAAAGCACTGGTGTTTCAGTGGATTTTAATTGCTTTATTCTTGTAACATTTTCCTGAGAAATTAGTGCCTAAAGCATTTTCTCCTAGCGGGTAGGCACATTATAAGTCAGATAGCACTGGTGAGTGAGATATGTCATTCAACAAACATTTGATGTTTTTCCCCATTCGATTAAGTAAAGCAACTGATGGTTTAAAAGTTTAAAAGTCCATCATCTGGGTGCCTGGGTGGCTCAGTTGGTTAAGCATCTACCTTTGGCTCGGGTCATGATCCTCTGGGTCCTGGGATGGAGTCCCCTCATCGGGCTCCCTGCTCAGCGGGGAGTCTGCTTCTCCCTCTCCCTCTGTCTGCCACTCCCCCTGCTTGTGCTCTCTGTCAAATAAATAAATAAAATCTTAAAAAAAAAAAAGTCCATCTTCCTGAAATTGATGGGAATGTGACCTTACTGGAGGTGTCCTGATTTCCTTGCCTTGGTTTCTTGTTCCCTGACCCTGGAGTTCCTGGAACCCATGTTATGGAGTATGAAAGCCCCAGTGATCTCTTGGGTCCTCCGCTCACCTGTACATCCTGGCCCTCCTGCAGGGTGGGGACGTCTAGGCCAGACTCTCAGGCTTTGGGGCGCTGGAGGGTAAGCTTTAGGGCTGTTTCTTTGGGGGCCCGCTCTACATGAACAGAAGAGCCGTTGGGTATTTTACCTTTTTGGCATGAGTTCACTTGTTACAAAACAAAGGTTTGCAGATTTTTCTGCTCTGTTGTAGCAGGAAGTAAATGTGTGGAGTGTCATGTGCTTTTAGATGGTCTTCCTGGATGTGTTTCTGCTGATAATTTTTTATCTTTCTCAAACAGGCATAATATGCTGATCTGATGTCTCCTTTTGAACACATTTTATTTTAAACGTATAACACCACCAGCTGCTTTTATATGTGGGGTGTGTCCTTTTGGCATGTCAAACGGAGCTATATTTAGGGCACAGCTCCCTGTGGTGCTTTTGCTAATCTCACCTTGGTCGCCAGTGGTGTTTCCTGGTGCCCCTCGTAAACACTGTTTGATGATTTGGCTCAAGTGAGTCTAATTCAGAATGCACTTGGAATGTTAATAGAAGTTCATGAAAAGAAGAAGATGCTTTAGGTAGTTGGGAATACATGCTTAAAAAAAAAATTCCCCTCCTGGCTTGTAGTACACCGAATTTTAAAAGTAGCCTTCACTCTTTCCTAATCACTTAGTGACAGACTGCGTAATGTGGACTCGTGCCGCGGTTTGTCAGCTCCTGAGTTTATAGTTGACAGATGGATTTTAATGAAAAGACTCCACTTACAAATAGCAGAGGCGTCCATAGGAGGACCTAAAGCCAATTCCACATGTTCCTCAGTTTTTGGATGTTTAAAGTTTGGATCTGTGGTAAGAACGCTTGTTTCTTTGGTTAAGCTCCTGGAGACGGGCATGTCAAGAGCAGGGGAAGGTTAAGGTTGATGATTTTTATTTGTACTCATTCTTTATTAGGCATTTAATACAGAATGTCTCATTTGATATCATTTTTGTCTAAGGTACTATCAGAATTAAAACTATTTCCCTTTTAACTAATCGAAGAAATAAAATCATCGATCTTTCAGAGTTTGTCATGACTCTTTACTCAAACCTTAAATTCTGCAGGGTTAGTTAAAGTTGGGTCTCTTTAGTGGGGAGGGAAGTTGTGCACTCAGCAAACTAGTCTGGAACTGTTGTTAAATATCTGAGACTTTCGCCAGCTGTGTTGGTTAAATGAAGTTGGTAGGTGCCATCACAATTTTATAGTATTTCCTACTTTATGACCAGAATTGGCAAGTTATGTTAGCATGATGTCATTTGCTGTTTCTTAGGCTTGCTGTTATTTTGTTTAGGAAGAGAAAAGGGAAAAAACCCCACTAAATTAAAAACTTTAATTTAAAAAAGTTAAAAACGTTACTTGCATGTTGATTTCTTTGTGTGTGTAAAAGGTTTACAGTGAAAGAATAAACTTCTGAAAAATTTATACCTCTGATCCTGTTTTTTAAAATCTGTTTTATTGAGATATAATCCACAACCATAAAATCTACCCTTTAAAAGTGTATGATTCAGTGGATTTTAGGGTTTTCACAAGGTTGTGAAACTATCACCATGGTCGAATCCCAGAACACTTTGATTACCTCCAGAAGAACCCCATGCCCAGTCCCCATTTCCTTTACCGCCTGGCTCGGGCAACTACTAATTTACTTTCTGCTCTGACCCCATTTTTTAAAATATTAGGGGATATTTATTTTGGTACGTTTGTAAAAGCTCTCTATGTGAGTAGCTTTTAGTAAATTAAATCTAAGTGGAATAACTAGGGCTTTGAAAAAGCAGGCCAGAAGATCAGTGATTCCATGAGATACTTATTAGGTCAAAATCTCTAAAAACCCAGTAGGGATTCTTTGAACTTGAATATTTCTGATCCTCAGTCTCATCTCCAGGTACTGTAGAAAGCAGTCCTCACCACATATAGGTAAGACGGCAAAGTACTTACTAACTCCTGCAGAGGGTGAATTAAATGAGGTGACAAACCTGACTTCATGCTTCAGGTCAGGAGTAGGGGCAGTAAAAGAAGTGTTTTATAGTTTATATTTAACATTTTATTTAATATATATGTTAATGTGTTATATATATTGTCCTAGTGTGGACATCATATACATATATAATATATGTATAATGTCAGCCCTGTGCCACTAGGTGCTAGGGTTTGGGCCTCAAAAGAACTCACAGACTACCATCAGAATTAAGAACACTTTTTTCCCCTTAACCTTTTATAAAACATTTCAGCATCCAAAAGGAGAGAGAATAATACAATGAATTTCCATGAACCATGGTTCACTTCAGTAATCTTGTCATCTGTATTCCTGTAAAAGCTTTAGAAAAAAACCTCAATACCATTAACAGGCCTAAAAAATGAGTAGTAATTCTTTAATATAAAAATAGGCCAATCAATATTCAAATTTTCCTGCTTGTCTCATAATTTGTTTCACAGGATATATGTGGCAATTGGTTGATCTCTCTGTGTTTCTCAATCTATAGGTTCTTACTCTTTTTGTCTTATCCCCTTATGTTAATTATTAGATGAGGAAACTGTGTTTTTCTGAAGATTTCCCTACATTTTAGCTTTTGCTAGTTGTACCCATGGGTGACCATTTAATATGTGCTCCTTCCCCTGTGTTTCCTGTAAACTAGGAGCTGGATCTTGAGGCTTTATCAGACCTAGGTTAGATTTTGCAGGAAGAAGGCGAAAAGTCCTTAATGGGTGGTGGTAGGTAGTTCTACTGGGAGTTTTACTGGGGGAGTCTGGCTGTCTCTTTTTTTATGATGTCAAGCATTCATTGATGATCATGGTTTAGATCTAGTATTTTATCACAGTTGCAAAATGGTGACATTCTAATTACATCCTTTCTTCTTTATCAACTTAGCTATTCTATAAAAAGAAGTGTCCCATCATCAGTTTCTTGGTTATCCTGAGAACATAGTTAATACAAGAAAAGGATAAATGATTGATTCTTGTCCTTTACCAGTGTTCAGACTAATGAAAAATGACCATTGGTCATTTCAGACTGATTAAAAAAAAAAACACCTTTGCTTTTTAACGTTTGATGTGTTTCAGTTGATTGCCAAATTTTTAAAAATCTGTTACGAAGTTAAAACTTTCTCATCTTAGACCCAATGGGAGTGTCTTCAGATTGGCTCCTGAATCTATGCACTGCAGTCCTGCAGGTTCTCTTTTTGCTGATGAGACAGGATGTTTCAGGCCCAGCTCGTCTGTCCCTATTCCACATCTGGAGCCAGCCATTTTTCCAAAGTGTGCTGGTTCCTTTGCATGGGAGAAAGGCGCAGGGTGCTACAGAAGCTTGCTGTTCCTGGCTGGGTCAGTGTTTCTGTGCTCTTCAGCAGACACATCGAGGAAATACGTGTATAGATATTTTTTTTTTTTTTTAAGTAAGATGTCATGACTTCATACTAAAGTTTCTAATTCAGATTTAGGATTACAGGTATTTTTCTTTGATTTTATATTTGTGTCTCCTTTTCCTTATACTAAAAATCTGAGTTCCTACTCTCATCAACGTAATTGCTTATTTACATTTTAACACTGATGTTATTGCCACACTGTGACTACCAAATGTAATCTAATACTTCTGTTGTCCTAAGGGTATATGCCCCTAGGAACATACAATCCTGTAACTGTGCTTTAAAATCACATAGAATAGCTCCTCTCTGTGTGGGTCAAGTTCCTGCCAACTTGAAACTCCAGATCATGTCTCATTTCGTTTTACAGTTGTAAAACTTAAAAAAACAACCACTTAATCTTGCTTTAGTATTAAGTAAAACGTGTACATCATTCCAGGGCTAAAAACTAAAAAAAATTAAAGTACAAAGAAATGTAGTTTGGGCGCCTGGGTGGCTCAGTTGGTTAAGCAACTGCCTTCGGCTCAGGTCATGATCCTGGAGTCCCGGGATCGAGTCCCACATCGGGCTCCCTGCTCAGCAGGGAGTCTGCTTCTCCCTCTGACCCTCCTCCCTCTCATGCTGTCTGTATCTCATTGTCTCTCTCGCAAATAAATAAAATCTTAAAAAAAAAAAAGGTAGTTTTTTTCCTTGCCTCTTCAACCCTGTACCTTTCCTCCACCAAAGGAAACCTTTTTTTGTTTTTGTTTTCTTTAGTTTTCTGGGTTTTTTTCTTATACTTGTAAAATAGCGCTCTCTCTCTCTTTCTCTTTCTCCCCCCCCCCCCCACCCCAATCCGTTCTCCTCTCCTCCCTCCCTGAGATAAACAGTCATGTATTTTCCATTTTCTCTGCTTGCTGTTTCATTTTAAGAGTATTCTGGAGAACAGAATATTAGTACATACAGAGATTCCACATTCCTTTT